ATAAATTTGGGATACTCTTTTATACTGATTTTATTCCAGTTAAATTATAAATATATTCCTATGTCATTAATATTATTCTAGAACATATTTTTCTCTTTTGCATAATATTCCATTCTAACAATTATCACAATTTAACCATTTTCTGATTTTGTTTCCACTCTTGTATAAGTAACAATCTTGTGAATGTATACATGTATATAAATCAATGTGCATATCTTAGTTATTTAGGATAAATTTCTAGAAGTTTACTAACTGGAATAGTGAGAAAAAAATTGTAAAGTTCTCAATATATATTGCCAAAATCATGCCCAGAAAGGACTGGAAGTTCATTTTAACATCTACTTTCTAAATTCTTTTTTTTTTTTTTTTTTTCTTTTTTTTTTCTTTTTTTTTTTTTTTTCTTTTTTTTTAATCTTATCAATACTTTAATGTTTTTTTTTTTGGGGGGTTGTTCCTTTCACAAATTTAGTAAGTGGAAAACCATTCATTTTAATTTGTATTTTCCCATCTATCTGTAAGCTAAATATTTCCTCTTCACTTATTTCCCATTTGTTTCTTTTAGGAATTGCCTGTTAGGCCTAATTTTCTTTTATAAATTGCCTAATTTACTATTTGTGATAGTGATTATTTTTCCTATGGGTTTTTAAGATATCTTTATATATAAAGGGTATTGTCTACCTTAAAAATACTTTTCTTACTGTATTACTACAACTTTTTTAATTCCTTTTTTCTTCAGATTTTTTTTTCATTTGGAGTTCATTTAGGTATATTAGATTAAAATCTAATAATTATTTTCTAAACCATCAATCAATCTTATCAGCATTACAAATTGAACAAAGAATCCTTCAATTGTGTGAAATGTTTTATTCATCTTTGATGAAATTTCTATATATTATGTATTAGGATTTGTTTCTGGGATTTATATTTTCTTCTATTACTATGCATATTTTTTTGAGCCAGTATCACAGTTTTAATTATTCTATAAACATTTAAATATGTAATGGTATTCAGATTTCCTTTTCTTCTTTTCAACAATTTCTTAGCTACTCTTGAATCTTTATTTTAAAAAAATTTTTTTAATCCTCTCCAAAGAGTATGTCCCATTGATTTTAGAGAGAGAGGAAGTGGGGGTGGGTGTTGAAGGGAAGACAAAGAGAGAAACATCAATCAGTTGCCTCCCGTACACACCCCCACTGGGGACTCAAACTTGCAAACCTTTTTGTGTAGAGGACAACATTCCAACCAACTGAGCCACATAACCTGGGCTATTATTTCTAATGAACCTTAAAATTAGTTTTTGAAGTTGAAAAACAAATTGGTTGTTTTTAGTGTATTTACAGAGTTGTGCAGCCGTCACTACTATCTCATTTCAGAACATTGTCACCACCTCTATTCCTATTAGAAGTGCCCTAACTTCCCTTCCCCCAGCATCTGGCATCCAGTTGTCTGCTTTGCCTATTCTAAATATATCATATAAATGGAACTGTATGCTATGTGGTCTTTTAAAAGTTTCATCTATGTTACAGCATGTATCGGGACTCCACCCCTTTTTTGATGGCTAAATAATATTCCATTTGTGGCTATATCGTATTTTGTTTATCCATTTCTCAGGGATTGGACATCTGGGTTGTTACTTCTGGCTACTATGAACAATGAATGCTATGAACATCTCCTGCACATGTTTGGATTATGAAAATGTTTTCAATTTTTCTGGGTATATACCTAGGAATAGAATTGCAGGGCCATATATGATAATTCTATGTTTAATTTTTTAATTCTTTTTTTAAAAGACTTTATTTACTTTTATTTTATCATTTTTTTTTGCTGATGTGCTTTTTTAAAATATATTTTATTGATTATGCCATTACAGCTGTCCTATTCCCCCCCTTCATTCCCTTCCACCCTTTTTTAGGAAACTCCGAATTGTTTTCCATATTGGCTACACCATTTCACATTCCTACCAGCAGAGTATAAGTGTTTCAATTTCTCTATATCCTTGCTAAGACTTGTTACTGTCTGTCTTTTTTTTTCTGTCTTTTAAATTTTATCCACCCTAGCTGTTTGTGTAGTATCAGACTGTGGCTTTGGTTTGCATTTCTTTAATGGCCAATGATGTTGAGCATCTTTTCATCTTTACATTTGTATATCAACTTTTAATTGGCTAGTAACAATCTCTGCTCATCTGTGAGTCTTCCCAGTCAACCCACCCTAAAAAAACGAGACTATTTTAAAATTTACTTAATTATGTTCACTTAAACACACAAACATCACAGGGAATATACAACAGAAAATTAAAACCTCTCATAAGTCCACTTTATAGACTGACAAACACTCTTTAGTCTCCAACCATTTTTTTGAACAGAAAACTAACACGTGCCTATTATAGAAAATAGAAGAAAATATATCCATCACGGCACTGTGTGTTACAATATGCCAGGTACTGTTCTAAACATTTTAAAGTCACATTTAATGCTAATAATATATGTAATGAGAATATATATTGTTTATATCCTTATCCTAAAACAAACATTTTTCTTCAAGTAATCTTCCAAAGTGTGATTTATGTTATAAAACAAAATATTCCCATATATGTGGGTGTATGTATGTGTGTATCTATATATTTGGTTGCTGTTGTTGTTTTTAAGCTGCTCTGGGCTACTGGTACTTCTCTGATTACTTTCTCTAATAGGCAAAGCACAGCACGACACGATCTCCTAGCCCAGCTCAATAGCCCGGCTTACAACAGCAGAAAGGTGATTTTGCAAATCCAGCCCTCTTCACTGAGAGTGAGACACTACTGTGTGAGGGCAGTGAGGACAGGAAAAGCACAGAGTCTCCGTAACGGCAGGGCAAGCTGACAGCATGTGAGCAGTGGGCCCAAGCAGCTGAGTCAACACACCACTAATGAATTCTCATCTTCAATATCAGATGGTTTCAAGTAACCAAGAATTTCATCTTGGCCCCAAGTTCCTGATTTTGTGGGGACGCCACTGGAAAAGGTTCATATCAACGCAGGAAAGCTTCCAAAACCTGCTCAGCTCACCTGGACTTGGCCTTCCCTCTTTATCCTCAGCTCTCCTCAACCCCCACATACGACAAGCCGTGAGGCTGACATGACTGGCTCTAAGCACTCAATAGCCCCCCTCTACCCACCGGGTAACTTGTATTCATTCCTCCAGACTCCCAACAGTGGAGCATTCCTCCCCGTGACAGCTGCTCCAACGAGCCCAACCTGGATGAGGAGTGATCTCTGTGCTCCCACCTGTACCTTGGGCTTCCCTCGGTGTCTGTAAATGTCACACTGCTTTGTAACTGTTCGGGTATCTGCTTCCTCCACTACATTTTCAATTTGTTTAGAGCAAGCTCTTTGTCTTTATGTCACACTCAACGTACAGGACAGTGTCTGGAAATCACAGGGTTTCGTACATTTTCAAGAGCAAACTGCAGTGAGTGGACCTAGCAAACTGGTAGCCAGTTTCACCTAAATTTCTATGGGGAACAGAAAAAGAAACTAAAATGTAGTGAGCCTCTGCTATTAGGTGCCCAGTACTTTATACACATTAGCTTAAGTAATTCTCATAATAATCCACGGAGGCAGAAAGTAGAGCCCCCATTGTATAGATGAAAACATTAAAGCTTTATTTCCACATATAGCTAGGAGAGTCATAATCTGAACCCAGGTCAATGTCTGGTACATAATTCTGTCTTAGCACTTTACAGTTCATTAGGTGTCCTCCCCTCCTGAAACATAAAGCCATGTACACTGGAGGGGAAGCACTACTCTCCTAGAATTGCTGGCTTAAAATCTTCTTGAAGGGAAAACTTTCCTATTTCTCTTGGAGGGATCCCTGGCTAGAAAAACAGAGAGAGGAGAGGGAACCTATGAAAGGAGATGCATAAAAAAGAGGATAGTGAGCAAAAGTTAGAGAATAGTTTCTCCATTAATCTGAAAGCATTTTGACCCCTTTGAAGAGTTTCAAGTCTAGGAAACTTTTAGAAAAGTACCCTAGATTCTGATGGCACTGATACTGTAAAAAGGGAAGAAAAAAAATAGAAAAATTGTAGTATGTAAGAAGGAGCACGAAAACTCCTGGTTCTCATTCTATGAATAATAAGTGATGCCAACTGTGGCCAAGTCTAAGCCATTAAAATTCTCCAGTACCTTCCATCTCTTCATTTCTAAATTGAAAGGATTAGACTGTGACAGTTTCCAACCTGGCTCTGCATCCAAATAATACCCTCAGCTTGTGAAAACTACTGATCTCGAAATCCTACCCTAATTCCAAGTCAATAAGGGTGGACCTTAGGAATCCTCTGGATTTTGATAGACTCAGCCAAGTTTGGGAATACCTGGGTGAAATCTTATTCCCTACCCAAGAGATACTGTGAAAAGGCAGCCAGCTGATTCAGTACAGTTAAGTCACATAACCAAAGACCACACACACCAGGAAGTTTCAGCTCTGCCTGGTGTGGTTCAGTGGACTGAACGCCGGCCAACAAACCAAAGGGTTGCTGGTTCGATTCCCAGTCAGGGCACATGCCTGGGTTGCAGGCCAGGTCCCCAGCAGGGGGCACACTACAGACAACCACAAATTGATGTTTCTCTCCTTCTCCTCCTTCCCTCCCCCCCCTCCAAAAATAAATGAACAGAACCTTTTTTTTTTTTAAAAGAAAAAAAGTTTCAGTTCTGTACTGCTTCATAATCCTTCCTGTTTCAGGACAAAATGAGTTATACTCAGTCTCCCTTATTCCTTGCACCTGCCTTTGTTCTACCAATGCACGAGTCTTAAGAGTGACAGAAATGCTGGTGAGGAACACACTTTTTTAATTGCCAGGTAGTCTCCGGAGGTATCAGCTGTCATGGGCCTCTCTAGGCTGCTGGGGTGCGGCCATTAGTTCCTCTAGTTTCCTCCTTCAAAGCTCCTCTGAGGAAGAAATACCATCACTAGATTTAAAGGGCAGGCATGGAGTGTGCTAGGGAGATGCAGTAACAGCCCCACCTTGACATCCAGCTTGGCCAGCTGTTGTAAAACCCAGATGCGGTGAGACCAGGCATTATAGTTGCTTGGGTATCTCCCTGCTGCTTCCCCACAGACCTCCATCTCTTCTTGTATTAGTCGCTGCGTCCTTTCTGTAGGAACTGATCCCAAGTTTCCTTTGGTCGCAAAGGAAGGCAAGCAGGTTTCCTGAATTAGCTGTTGTAGCACCCATCGTCTGTTCAGGTAGCATGTGGAAATGAGAATGAGGAAAGAACATAAACCAGAGAGAAAAAGCAGAGTGTTTTTTTGTTCTTAATTTAACTTCCATTCAAAGATAGAGCAAAATAGTACCTGTCATAAGCCCATTTTGGGGAGATGGTGGGGGGATTGATTTTGTTTTTAACTTTAGTTGCATGCATTGGGGCAGGGGGAGGAACAATAAAAAAGAAACCCTAAAAATGTTACAATTTGTCCAAAAAAGAAAAGAATGTCATCAGTTCCAAAATGGCAACTCCAAAACTCCACTGGGCCAAGAAATGCAAAGGCACCCGGCGTGTGTGTGCACACGTGCGTGCAGGTGCACTTCAGTGGTGGTGATCAGTGGGGCAGAGGATATAGTTAATGGCTAGTAAGTACTAGCAGAGGGATCATGGTTCATGTCTTTAATTCTAGTCTAATGCCTCACCCTATGTGTATTTGTTTGTTTGCAAACAAGAAGCTGCATTATGACAGCTTTCATTAAGCAAAATTTCTGTATTATCACATAGTATCTGGAAGGAAACAAATACAGTAAAATTAGTGAGACCATCATGATTTTAAAATGTCTTTATCCATACATTTTCCTCTTGTCTAAGATTTTCATTAGCATACATTTAAAGGAAGTTCAATAAAGTCTAATCATTTAATGTCTTTAGTTTTAAACATTTGCTCATGAGAAAGTATTCTTTTTGATGAAAAATTTCCGACCTAAAAGTACAAGAAATTTAGTAGGAAAACCCATTTTGTCATTTGTAGATAATAGAAGTTTTTTACTCAACAAAAGCTTGCACTATAAAATATTAGATAAGACAATAGACTGACAGATGCATATTTAAAAATTCCCTTTCTCTGCCCCCACCTATTTCTAGACTTCTCCACACACAATTATATACCTTTCAGAAGTTGGGTATCACAATTTCTACCAAGAAAGAAAATACTACTGATTAGATTATTTGGAGGTAGCTGATTTGCAATGCTAGCCTAAGGCAAGATTACAGCCAAGACACCCTGATACTTTAAGATCCTAAAAGTGCTCAGGATTTAAGTAAAGTTTTAAATGGCTTAACAATTGAGAACAGACTTCCTCAGAGGATTTCCCCACTGACCCCACCGCAAGCTCTCCCTGTACCATTTCAGTCAATACAGTGGTTACTGGAAGTCTGAGAGACAGACTCAGCTGGCCAGCATGTCGAGAAGAGTTCCTATGTGCACTTTGGCTATCTGCCTCAGGCTTTTCACCTAAAAATATTCTTTGCGTTTATGGTCTTAGCAATTTTATCTCACTCTATACACCATTAATTTCAGTGGCACTTATTTTCCTTATTTGGTTACTTTTCCTTATAACCACAATCATCACCACCACCATTTTTACCAAGAGCACAGTTGAATGAATTATAAAACTCAAGTTGCTCATTATATCTGAATATCTAAATGCAATCTCCATGACTCCAGCAGATAGTTAATAACAATGGCTAACATGTACTCAGTATTTCGTATGTGCCAGGCACCATGGTCGTGTTTACATGTATCATCTCATATAAACTCAGGTAGTAACTCTGAGATAGGTGTAATTACTATTTCCATTTCACAAATAAGAAACCTGAGGCTTGAAGGGGTTAATTTCCGAAGATCACACAGGTAGCAAGTGATGTTATCAAGATTTAAATGTAATCTGACATTAAAATTCATGCTCTGACTCAATATGTGACCTGGCTTCAAGTGAATTCTGCGTTTTCTCCAGCCATTCGAAGTCCTAAGAAGCCTATGGTGTAAATTAACCACACCTGTGAATCCATGTTTCTGGACTCTTTGGAAACTTAGTTAAGGCCAGTTTTCCCAGATGTAAATCCTTAATTGGATTTAAAGTGCCAGAAAGGATCAGCTCTTTTCTGTAAAATAAAAATAAAAAGAATGATTACTTTATCTTCCCATCAAAACATATCGCATGGATATTAATATAACCTCACTGAGAAGTAAATTCACAAGAATTAAAAAAAAGAAAAAAACAACCTATCATAAATTTCACACACAGTATAATTAAGAATGAACTCTCATAATCTTAAAATAACAAATAAAAGCTTTAAATCAATGGTGGAACTTAAGTCACCTGTTTGGCAAAGGGGTTTTCAAAAACTTAAAGTCTGACATCAAAATGAGGCAAAAATTGCTCTAGCTTCCTAAGTAGGGCTTTACGGTCTAGTTTATTACGAAAAATGTACATGTACAACACATACAGTATGACTGAAATGTAAGGAAAAAATAATTCATTCAACCACTACCCTAACAAAATTACTATATTTATTTTTGAATTTTCCCTTTTCTCTTTCCTCCTATGCACCTACCTTTTAACATAATTTTATGTTCTTATATCTTTGCTCCTATATGAGCATCTTAAGTGTTCAAATAGTTCTCATTTAGTAGCTACGCCACTAATTAATGATATTCTTTCCTATGGCTACACATTCAGGTTGCTTCCAAGTTTTTGCTACTGTAAAATAATTCTGAAACAGAGCTTTGTGCTTATAACTTCTTTCATTTGTACTATCAGGCAGGGTGAGTGGTCAAAACGTGTATTGCCAGGTGAAATACCTACATGGTTCTTAATATACCAGACCACTTTCGAAATATAAAGAGAAATAAGAGCTGTGAAATTTCTGCTATTTTAAAACTGTTCAAAGCTTTAATGCAGTTATAAAGAATGTCATGCGAAAGCACTCCAACTATTTCTCAGGTAACTTTTTTTTTTAAAGATTTTATTTATTTATCATTAGAGGGGAAGGGAAGGGAAGAGGGAGAGAAATATCAATGTATGGTTGCCTCTCATGTGTCCCCTGCTGGGAACTGGCCTGCAACCCAGGCATGTGCCCTGACTGGGAATCGAACCGCGATCCTTTGTTTCACAAGCCCTTGCTCAATCCACTGAGCTACACCAGCCAGGGCTCAGGTAACTTTTTGATAAGTTCTGCTATTAATTTTCAATGTATTATTACTTTATAATGTAATTAGATCACTTGCTAGTATTAATTAATCCTGTGGTAGGCCTGATTATTCATTTATTTCAGAGAAGTGCAATCCCAACAAACCAGAGCCCAGCTTGTATACCTCACCTACCTATTTAGGAACTAACCCACCTACTCGATGGATTAGTTCCTAAATACCACAGTACATTTTCTTTCCAACAGCAATGTACTATTTCTAAATTTTTACTTTGTAAGAAAAGTAACTTCCTTTCTAATGAAAACACTAAGTGATAATAAATACTTGCATTTTATAATCATTTTAGGTCAGTAATTTCACTCTATAAAATAATTTGAAGGGATACTAAGGTTTATGGCTGCTTTAACAGAGGGATTTATTGACTATTTTTCTTTCAATGTAAGAAAATGTACGTGTCATTAAAAGAATATTTAATACAGAAGCCAATTATGCAACCCTAGACCCTTTTTGTCTGATTAGGGTTAGGGTTAGGGCTTAGAGTACTCGCAACGTTTTGTTCATAGAGTAAGTCAGAATATAGAATAAAAGGAGGCAAAATATTGCCCCGTGTAATTTTAAGTACTTGGTAGAGCACAGTTTCCTTAATGACATCATCACTTGGGACTGGTGAGAAATAGTCTCAGGCCTCATCCCAGACCCACTGAGTCAAAAACTCCAGTGGGGCAAAGCAATGTGTTTCAGTGAGCCCTGTGGGTGATGCACTCTGAAGTTCAAGAACCACTGCTGCAGCCCTGGCCGGGCAGCTCATTTGGTTAGGGCATTGCTCCCATACACCGATGTTGCTGGTTTGAACCCTGGTCTCAGGGCACATGACAAGAATCAACCAAGGAATGCATAAATAAGTGAGCAACAAACCCTTCTGCCTCTGTCTCTCTCTCTCAAAACCAATTACAAACCACTGCTGTAGAGAACTTACTGTATTAAGTGTAATTCACAGTCACTAAGTTTGAAACCTGTCATGTTTACAGCTGCCTAACTACATTCCCACATATGTCTATATACAAAGGGAAATAGAATTTTCTTCCGAAAAGAGGAAGTCACCTTATAACTAAATCTTTACAAAGTCTCTTAAATTAGGGGTACGCTCTTAACTTCTTTATTTTGAACAACAAAGTAGCACTTGGGAAGACATCTTAGCCTAAAACCACCTCAATCAGTAACAGTATATATGGGTGCTTAAATAGATGGTCTAACAGAATCATAAAGAAGGATGCAAACTTTTCATTCCAATTTAATAAATATTCCTTGGGGACAGGATTGAACATTTTAGGTCTCAGATGTTGTCACAGACAGGTTTCAGTTTGTAAAGATCACCTGAAAATGAAATATGGTAAGTGGTTAAGCCACGGCTATCGAATAACCTAGAGATGCAATATAAAAATCAATTGCTCTATTGTATTCAAGCAGGAATCTAGCTTGAGATAAAATTTCTAGTCACATGTGGATTCAGAAAGTGCTATATCTCAAATAACTTAGATAAAAGTAAATATGACGTGCTCTGGAAAACTGGAGTAACTCAAAAAAATTACCTCTTGTGATGACAAAGTCACTGATGTCAGTAGCTACGTGAGGAGTTGGAATAAAATTGTTTAATGAAATGTGAGTAGAAAATGAAAAATTTTTAAGTTAAAATATTTCACATCTTATTTTATAAAATTTAAATATAAATACACAGGATCCAGCACAAATAATGCCCCTTTTTTCATTACAAAATCATAAGCATGTAATTCTATGACATAACAATATCACTCTCAAGTACACCATATGACATTTTAGGTGAAATGTTCATATTAAAACTATAAACTATTAGACCCATATTACTACCCTACCGACCATCCTTAAGCAGGCATTACTTCTGCTGGACCCTGGAATCTGGTTATCATTTCACATACAGATTGGTATTAGCCTAAAACCATTTTTTTGGACTTTTTAATTTAGGAAATGGAGTGCTGCCTTAAGGAGGCTCTACTTTTAGGTGCCGAATAAGCTGTGTTTCTATATTCATCCTACAAGCATTACATGGCAAACTGCCAAGTGGGGAAGAAGAAGTGAAGTGAGGGTCATAAATAAACGTTGAGGAAACTAAGTATGAAAGAAAAAGCATCTGCATTGTTCTGGGAGAAGCAAGGACCAGCGGTAGGAAATAGTGCCTTTTTAACAAGGTGGGAAAAGGGAGTAGACTAAGGAATTTTAGTAGACAATTACAAGTAGAATTATAAAAGAAAAGAGGTTCTTCACACAGATTTTTTCAAGCAATAGAAGTTACTTCTTTAAATTTTTTTGCTATGAAAAAAACTTTTTTGCTATGTATTTTACTCACTGATTAAATAGCATGTGGAAAGTCTCATCATTTTCCCTTGAAACCTCCAGTTCATTGCTATGAAAACCAGCCAATGCTAAAGCTAAAAAACAAAAACAAAAACAAAACAAAAAACCCTCCCACACCCACAGGAGCGTCCGGGGGTTACTAAAGTGAATCAGTGTGTTTTATTTCTCTATATAAGTTATTGCATTTTTATATTCCTAATTTTTTTTTTTTTTTACATTTTTCTCTCCATCTCAAACTACTAGCTACTGCTTCTCTCTGCTGTCATTCGACCCAAGATCTGTAGGAGACCAGGGCCCACGCATATGTTGTCTACGACTAAATCTCCACTGGTTAATTCAGTATCTGGCACATCGCAAACACTGAATGAACACATGCCACCTTTCCCCTCAATCTTCAGTTACTCAGTCTGAAATAACAGTAATGATAATAAGAAAAATCACTCTCATAAAAACTCATTTACTAAACACTTCTCCTGAGTCAGCCATTATGTTGTGATTTGCATATATTATCTAATTTAATTTTCAAAACAGTCCTATAAGTATTATGTTGAATCACATGACATTGCCAACATTTAAGTGCTTTTTAAAATAAACTTTTTATTTTAGAATTGCTGTAAGCTGACCGAAAAGTTATTGGATAGCACAGAGAATTCCTGTATGCCATGTCCCTGGTTCCCTTCATTACTAACATGCTGGTGCATTTACCATAATTGATGAACCTACTGGAAGTCCACAGTTTTTTCAGAATTCCTTAGCTTTTATCGAATGTCCTTTTTCTATTCTAGGGTCCCATCCAGGATACATTACATTTGGCTATTACGTCTCCTTAGGCTCTTCTTGGCCCTCATGTATACCTGATTTTTGACAGCCTGACACAGTACTGACCAGGTCTTCTGTATGATGTTTTTCTCAAGGTTAGATAGACCAGGGCTATGAGTTTTGGAGAGGAAGAGACCACAGAGCTAAGTACCATTTTGATCACATCCCACCAGGGGCACACATCAGCCTGACTTGTCGTTGACGTGGACCTTGGTTACTTGGCTGAGGTGGCGTATGTCAGGTTTTCCCCACTGTGCTTTTTGGAAGGAAGTCACACTTAAGGAGTAGGGAGTTATTATGCTCCACTCCTTGAGGGGGTTATCTAGATAAATTATTTGGAATTCTTCTACATGACAGATTTGTCTATTGTCCTATTTGTTTTGTTTATTTATTCAATCATTTATTGATGTCAGTATGAACTTATGGATATCCATTTTATACTCTGGGGTATAATACAACACTATTTTATTATTCAAGTGGTTCTAGCCTTGGCCACTGGAAGCCCTTTTACATAACCCCATCATAGTGTTTTTGAGCGCCTCCTTACTCTTGGCCCTCTAAGATATTCCAGGCTCATCTTGTATGTTCCCTGCTTTGGTCTTAGAATCAGGCAGTTCCACAAAAAGTCCAGGACCTGATTAAAGAATGGTGTTAGAAACCAGGGTATAGATGCTTGAAATCCAAGCATCATCATCTTTGATCTACAAAGACAATTTCATATGGTGCAATCCAACATTAACTCAATTTTACAGATGAGGAAACTAAATTTGGTAGTGATTTAGTAACATGCTCAAGGTCTTCAAGCTCAAACTGTCAGAACCAAAGATCAGAGCCACATAAAGTTACCAGTTTAAAAAAACAGGCCGTGAGTAAAGGACATGAATCACTGGAACTTGTCAGCTACTCTAGTTGCTCAAAGATGTTCTGTTTACTCTATGTTCATAGACTGTTGGAAAAATAGAACATTATGATGAAATCAACCTCTTCATCAAGTAATTCACCAATTTTCAAAGCAAATTTTAAAAGTACCTATTATTGTTTCTATAACCAGCTGAATTTTTTAACTATATGCATCTCTCTCTCTCTAACCTACAGAGATGGGCTCAAAAGCTTATTCTTGCCTGTATTTCTTTCCTAAGATGGCAACACCTATAAATTGAACTACTAATGTGTTATTCCAGCTTTTAGCAGTTTATAAGATGGTATCAAAATCACTCAATGCTTCCCAGAGTTACTGCAGAAGAAATACACCAACAATTAAACATAAAATGTTGAGTCATTGGTTTGCAAAAGACATGGCAAGGTTGTATCAGCTAACTTACAATGCTGGTTGTTTTTTCCTCGCTATGTATTCAGGATTCTATGTCTTCATCTGTCAATCAGTCTTCTCAATACAAACTAAAATTTACTAGAACACATATCCACAATGCTTTTTTTTTTAAAATCAAGATTTCCTTTCTACTTATCTAACAAAATACTTTCCCAATCTTTCTAGAATAAGTTCAAGATAACCTGCTATTATTGATACAGGGTGCAGCCGGGGGGGGGGGGGCAAAAAAAAGATTTGGAATAGTGTTCAGAATTCAAAGTGTATAGGAATATTGGAGAGACATATAAGATGTCCTCACCCCTTCCCCCCACAGGTGTGAGTTTGGGGAAGGAACAAATAGAGCCAGGGCCATTGAGAGCTGTTTTGCACAGCAACAGTTTTGCAGCTACCCTCTGGAATGATTATTTAACATATCTATAACCTTTAACTGGTTTTATAGATAAGTTAAATAGCTGTGGCCAAGTTTTGGCCAGGTAGAAGGGGGAGCAGCGTGGTTTTCAGGAGCGTGAAAGAGTACCACTCGGCTTTGCCAGAATGGGGACCCTTGCAGCCAGGTGAAGGGAGAGCCACGCGGTTTCAGCAGAGTGGGGACCCCCTCTTGGTGAGGTGAAAGAGGGAGCCACGTGGTTTGGGCAGAGCACGGACCCCCTCTTTCCCAGGTGAAAGGGAGAACCACACAGCTTTGCCAGAATGGAGATCCCTGCAGCTTTGATAGAAGAGGCCCATGCGGCTTTGGGGTGCCCCCTTTGGCTGCATGGCCTGGAAAGCAGGAGAGACTTTGACTGGAACTGGGTACAAAGAACTCTTGCCAGTGGACCATGAGAGGGTGCCACAGTACTTTGGATTAACTAGAGATCCTGCCTGACACAGCTGACGGTACCAGCGGCCTGAAACAGACGTGTGCTCTTTTTCTGATTTACAGTACCAGGAGTTGGGACAGTGGGAGAAGCGGGAGCTGTGTAGGTGTAGGTGTATACCCTAAAGGACTTTGATATTTTAGTGGAGGCGTTAGGCCTGAACAGCATTAAATAAACATTTTGTTTCCTTTTCACAAATCTCTGGCATTGAGAGATATCTTTCCAATTGGTGGCGGACAGAAGAGCTCAGTAGATTTTAGTATTCTGTCCTTGGGAAGGACCCCTGTTCTGTAGCAGTTTTTGGCATCCCTAGGTGGGCCAAATATTGCCCCCCCCAACCTCTTGTTCTGTAACATCATCATTGAAATTAGATTTATAGAGCAATTTCCCTTCTTAAGACCAAACCACACATAATAAAAAAAGTCCATTTCAAAAGACCCATAAAAATTTTCACCTATTCAAATCTTTTATTTACTGATATGGAAACTAAAACTCTTGAGAAGTTAACAGTTTTGTCCAAAGTCACTTGCTAGTTAATTGATGAAATACGACTAAGATCCACATATCTTAAGACTAGGTTCTTTCTTCTTCACTGAATTGCCCGGTAGAATATACAATGAATTATATTTTTAAGGATTTTCAGTTGCTTTCTAACGATGAGGAGTATGAGAACATGAATAAAAACGGCACTCCTACTTCTCTGTTATCCTCACTTCTTTTCCACCGCATTTCATGATTTTCAGTGTCATATCTACAAACTGAGCATCTATTTTGTTCCAGGAACTAGAGTATTAAATGCTGGGGAAAAAGACAAGATGTGGTCCCTACTCTACGAAAGTGCTCAGTTGTAAGTCTATAGGACCTTCCTAAAAATCTCCTTTGCTGGTTCGTCCTCATCTTGGAAAACTCTAGAACAGCGCTGTCCAATTGAAATATAATGTGAGTCACAAATGTAATTTCAAATCACATATGTAACTTCAAATTTTCTAATATCTAACAACAAGCATAAAGTAACACTTTATTTAACTCAATACATTCAAAATATTATAATTTCAACATGTAATCAATATAAAATTAGCAATAAGATATTTTACTTTTGGGGGGTACTAAGTCTTCAAAATCCGCTCTAGTTTGCACTTACACCACATCTCAACTGAGAACCAGTCACATTTTAAGGACTCAGTAGCCACATGTGCCTAGTGGCTAAGCAGTGTCCTAGCTCTCAGTCTTTGGACTAGTTTTCTAACTATACCCACTTCCTTGGGTATCTCAAACAATCTCATGGCTTTAAGTGCCACCTATTTTCTAGTGGTTCCCAAACTTATCATCTGGTCTAGAATTCTCACCTGAACTTTAGGTTCATACACAGCTAACTAGATGCAAATCTAACATCCCCAAAATGAGCTCTTGACTTCCAACCAGCAGCCCCCACTTAAATCTGCTCCTCTTCTAGATGTCACCATTTGAGTCAATGGCAGCTCTGTCCCTTGAGTTGCTCAGGTCAAAAGCCAGGGACAAGCTTCAACCTCTTGGTTCTTTCACATCCAAATTATCATCTGTGTCTTTAAAACCAAATTATTAAATACAGTCAAAGCTTACACAGTTTATAAAATACGTTGAGAATCTTATGACTTCTCACCCCTTCTACTGTCAAGCTGTACTTCAAAAGTCACCAGTATCTCTCACCTAAATTACTGCAACTACTTCTCAACTCCCTAATCACTCCTTGCACCTCTCCAGTCTACACAGGAGCCACTGTTTCAAAACCTAAGTTAAGATATGGTCCCTCTTCAGCTTAAAAACCTTCGATGAATTTGTCTCATCCCAGAGTAAGAGTCGATGCTCCTGAAGATCTACAAAATTCTGTCAAATCTGGCCCATTACTCTCTGGCCTCATTTCCTATGACTCTTTCCCTTACTCATGCCATTCCAGCTACAAAAGCCTCCTTGCCAACACCCAGGGACAGGTTAGGCATGACTGGGGGCTTTTCCACTTGCGGGTCAGTCCACACTGAAGGCTTTTATCTCAATATCCACAGAGACTGATCCCTGACTTCATGTCAGTCTTTGCTCAAATGTCCCACATTTAAAATTGCAAAACCACCCTTCCCATCCTTTGGCCTTCCCTACCCTCTTTTCCTACCTTTTCCTCATAGGATTTGCCAACATTATTATCTATTCTACTTGTGAATGTCCTTATTGCCTTTCTTTCTCTGATAGAATAAAAATTCCACAAGGACAGGGATTTTTGTTTGTCTTATTCTTGGCTCTATTCCCAGTGGCTAGAATGTAGCACACACTAGTTAATAAGTATCTGAAAATGAACATATGTTGTCAAGAATTGTGTGGATTAAATAAGATAAAGTTGTAGTATGGTTCCTAGAATATAGTAGCTACTCACAGACATTAGTTTGTCCCTGCTACTGCAGTGCTTTCCATAAAACAAGAATTCTAAAATTATGTGAATTTTTAAAACCATATCATTCACTCTTTATATATGTGATCATTAATTATTCAAAAGACAACTTTAAAAAGACAGAGAGGTTTCCTAATTTTTAAAAATCAGTTAAACACAAATATTAAAAAATACTAACTTGATGTGATGGTGCTTAAAATTCACAGAATATTCAATAAAGTATTGTTTAAGTCACCTTTAAAGATAAAGATAAAGATAAAGATCTACGACTTTTCCTTATAGGAAAATTTGAAATGTATTCATAATGTTCAAAGGGACTTCACTTTTATTTATCTTTAATTTGTATCCTGCCTTCCTCTAAGAGAATTTGTGTTATCGTCTCAGGAACCACCAGATTTTAAAAACCATACATATAGTTTAACTGAAACAATGAAAAAAATGAACCCAGTCTGAATTTTACTAGTTCTATAAAATATTTTGGTTTAAAGCTATAACAACCAGAAACACAGACATCAATAAAATGTGCTGACTCTTCAAAATACTCAGCACTGGAGACTTCAAGAGATCTGCCCACAGAGGTGACCATGTTAAGTCAGTGAACTGAATGGAAAGTCCGTGGCCTTGAACGCTTACCCTACACACTGCAGTTTCTCAAATGGACTAACCAGGGCCTATGAGCCAACCAATTATGATAACTGCTCCTACCCCTCTTTTAGAAAAGAAAAACAAAAGCATGTGTGTTTTAGTATACCATGTTCGAATGGTATACTATAATTCAGCATGACAATTTATATTTCAGGAAAGAAGTTTTACAGAGAACAGACATAAACATGCAAAAAGTGGCAAAGTGTATATTAGAATTGTCATGGAGATATTATAAAGAATGTGTAGAAGAAGTAAGTGTAAGACGCCTTGAATGTATGGTTTATATTTCATTTCTCAAAAAGCTAACAACTCATGGGGCTTGTATGTCTTCAGAAATTTGGATAATTTCATTTTATCACTGATGAGAAAGACGTACCTCACGTTCCATGCGGTGGTAAAGTCTGGGTTTAGAAGCAGCAGGGTGCGTGTGACATCTGTCAACTCTAAAATAAAGAGAAGGCATGTTAAAAACAAATAGTCCTACACTCTAAAGGCTGGCTTCTCTTTAAGGTCCTTATTTTACTTTATATATAAATAGCTTACATTATACTAACATATTTATCTCATGTCATAGTAATTTTAGTGACAGATATACCTTGCTCTAAGCTGTCAGGGATAAGATTATCCTCAAGATTTTCTTCTACTTATAATAAGTAAAACTGTTTCTTAAAAGCTAACACTGAAATAACTTTATAATACACTATACCTATAAAGAATAACCAAATCAACCTTTTCATTCTTTTAGTAGTTTGGGGCACTAATTTAATACCTACTAAGGGAAAGAAACATAATTTCTATACCACTATTCATTTAATTCCACAAATATTTCAAGAATTGACTGTGCAAATTTTCACAAAAGGAAAAAAAATCACTCATACTTAGACTTAATATAATTTATTTCTGTTCCTCTGCGAAGATTATCCTTTCTTACATTTTTACATACAATTTTGTTATATATTTTTCATTCAACATAAATGCATCCCTATAGTATTTTTTAAATATTCTAGCAAAAATGTTACTCCATTCTCAACCACCTTAATAAATAAAAGAGATTAACGTTTATTATGAGCCTATAATTTCATTACTGAGTATATTACAACATTTGATAAATGAGCAACAAAAGGTAGGATGGGCACAGATTTATTTTGTAACAGTATCTTCATTACAAGCATTACACACATAAAAACAATATATCTATAAAGAATCATTTAATTAACCTTTTTCTTCTTTTACTTTTAGTAGTTTTGGGCACTAATTAAATATTTACCAGGAAAAATAAATAGAACTTTCTACACCCTTATTCACTTAATTCCACAAATATTTGAAGTATTGACAATGGGCAAAGATTCAACTGGACGCTTAGGTCTGAGAGAATAGTTATAATAAGATCTGGTCTTGCCCTCTAGAAGATTATTCTTTAGTTGGAGAGAACATGGTAACAATTATATAAAGCAAAATGACATAGCTGTGAGGTAGAAATATTTGCTACATTTTGGGGACCACCAAAGCAGCTGCAATTAATTCTGACTGGAGTTCCTAGGGATGGCTATAAATGAATAAGGTGGTAAAATGGCATTGCAGACTGTGGAAAACATTTGAGCAAAATTTGTAAAGAAGCAGGGAACTTCCTTCATACACAGTGCTCTCAAAAGATTATGGTACCAGAGCGTGGCCAGAGCTCTGGGAGCTAGAGAAATGTACCAGGGAACTAGGACCTCACCCCACTCCCCTTGTCAGCCTGGCCTTCCGCTACCTGCCCCTCCAGGAGGGGCTGCACTCCACCTGGAGCGAACCCTGCCATTCACTAAACATCTCCTGTCTGCCTACCTTTTCTTCTCTCACCACAGATGAGAAAAACATGGCCTCTGCCTGGGTTCAAATCCCAGTTTCTCCACTTACTGTCTACATAACCTCCTTGAACTTTAGTTTCCTTATCTGTGAAACGGCGATAACACCAACCTCAGTGTTGAGAGCAATGAGATTCATTCCACATCACCCACCACGGCTGTTTGACAGTGAGTACTCAGTAACTGTTCAACTAAACACCATTGCTCCTAATCAAAAAATTAAAATTTTCAACATCAATTAATCAAAGAAGTAATAATGAGGCAGTTGTTCCTAGAGTGAAACTGCTTAAATGTCTAAACTTGTAAAATAAACAACATAAAAAAATACTTGATTGTTAAGCAGCTATATATCGGGTTGGCCAAAAAGTTCATTTAGTTTTTCCCATAAGATGGCTCTAGTACTGCTTAGTTGTCTTTAACTTATCTGGAAACAATTTTATTAGATGGTATTGGGACAGCTGTCCTATCAGTGTGCATTTTTTAAAAACTTACCAAAATTAATAAATTTATGTGCAGCCATTTTAATAAGATGGAAGAAAATATGCAACATCTTTGGTGTATTATATGCTTTATTATTTCAAGATAGGTAAAAATGCAACTGAAACATGAAAAAAGATTTGTACAGTATATGGAGAAGGTGCTGTGACTGACTGAACGTGTCAAAAAGTGGTTTGCAAAGTTTCTTAGTACGACTGACGTTTTGGCCAAATACTCCTTTGCTGTGTGGCTGTCTTATGCATTGGGAGATATTTGGAAGCATCTCTGGCCTCTACCCATAGAAGCCAATAGTGGGAGACAGCTGACACACTCAAAATATCCAAATCAGTAAAGTGATTGGTGAAAATAAAAAATGTGTTTTTTATTTTACAGAAAAAACTAAATGGACTTTTTGGCCCACCCAATAAAAATGTATACGCATTATGGGAAGGCCTCTAGTGTTTCTTTTGAAGTCTACAAGTTTTCAATACATTATGCTACCTAGATAAACTGGTGTTTTGTTCCTTGGACTCTCCCTTTCTGCATCTAAAAAAAAAAGTGTGTGACTAACAGATGTCGCTATTTGTTTGTACCTCTCAGGCAAATCTCCTACCCCGCCCACAAATGAAGACGAGTTCATCCCCCCTGAGAGAGATACTCTGCACAACAGCACAAGGCAAAACCACAGAAAATGCCTAGGTCCCCACTTTTCATTCTGTGGCTGTGTGAAGAGAGGAAGGCTAATCACAGTAATGCTTCCTTTAATGCAGGGTCTCCCTCTAGCTGGGCAACGGCAGCTGTCGGGGTCAGAGCCCAGCTCTACCACTAATCAGGTAGTTCCTGGACGGACATACCACTTTACCTTTCTCCCCTAGTGTCCTCCTCATATGCAAAACAGAACTAATAACAGTACTACATCATGGCGTATTAAATGATTCAAACCCATGAAGTATCAGGACAACACCTGACAGCACCGGGTGATTACTCCTGTTACAAAGTTTGTATTTCCTAGTCCAGTTCCACGAATGGTACTGGGGACTGGGTGCCGCCAGAGGGAGAAAAAGAATCTCCTAAGCATTCTGAGCAGCGACTGCTGAACGGAGGGCATACTTTTTAACCAATAAGAATCTCAGGTTTTAAAACACAGCAACAGCCAACAGCCTCCACCAACCAGAGTGTAACTCATAGCCACAGGCCCTTCTCCTCTTCTCTTTGACAAACTGTTAACTTTTCCTCATTTAGGACTGAAGTCCAGGACTTCCTTCAGGAAGCATTCCAGTCTGATCCAAGAGGTGGGCATAAAGTAAACTATCAGGAGTGAGAAAAGGCCAATGCAGAAAAAGTTAACTGGACAAGAAATATTGGACATTATTTAAAGACGCATTTCTGAATTACGTGTATTTTTTGCTCTTCTTCCCCACTGGTTCCGGTTAAGTGAGAGAAAGGAGACTAGTGTTTCTGGAGAACCTACTAAATGCCAGGCACTGTGCCGGGTGCTTTATACCCGATTCAGATGAATACTCACAACAACCCTCTGAGACCTATTAGTGTGAAAACAGAAGGAGGTTAAGCAAAGTGACTTCAGTGTACCGGTGAACTGAATCTAAATCCAGGTCTGTTTTCCTGGAACACAGGTGCTGTTTCCACCCTAGCACACCATCTACAATTACCCTGCCCTGTTTGAGTGAGAAATGAACCAAAGACCTAAAGATAAACATGTATCTTTAGTGGTCTGTAATATTTCACTCTCTACATTTCATCAACTATATACCATTTTCCTTTGCAGTTTTATCCAGAAGATGTGAGCTACTGAAATCCCTACCATCTCTTGATATTAAACAGATCTCTCTCCAAACAACAGAAATAACTCATCATCACATCACAAGGAGAAAATGACTCAGGGTACATGATATACAAGAAGGTAGCTAAATTCCAGCTGAAACGAGGAGGGGACACAAGGATGCTGCAAAAAAAAGTCAGAAAAATGCAGTGCTTTCTTTGCTGCAATGCACTCTAGAAGTGGCCCAAGGCCAGCAGTTATGTGGTGTGGTCACTAGGTTTGACGACTGTCTCTGACAGAGCTGTTTTCACACATTTAGAAATAAATCCAAAGTCAACTTGGACTGGTTAATTAATCTCTTCTTCCAAATGACATTTAGGTTACCATGACACACTTGAGATAAAGCTATGTGGTAAACACCAAAGGGTCATTTATTACAGAACAAAGACACTGAATAGATAGCCAGACTAAGTTAAAACCTTCTGCTTACCAAAATCTTGTTACTTTTTGATAAATGTCTGTTGAACATACAAGGTGCTGAGTAAAGAAAGACAAACCATATCCCTTTTTCTAATAAACTCATAATCAAACTGGGGGAAATATTATATAAATAATCAACTATAGGCAATACAAGATGACAGAGGAGTAAGTGGACCTACGCTAATCTCCTCCCAGAACCAAACTGGAATTACAATTAAATTGTAATCATCCTAAATAACCAACTGAACTACAGCTGGAGAGAAGCCTTATAACCATGGACAGACAGAAGAAACCACTTTACTAGAACATGACTGGTATGGAGTGTGAAGGGGAAGTGAGAGGGCTGGCTGGGCTCCCACAGGTGGCAGCTGAAGTGTCGGAGGAATATTTCAGTGGCTGGAGGTTTCCCCCTGAGGAAGTGTGGGGATCATTTTCTCCAATTTGGATCCTATTTTTTTTTCTCTATGTATTTTTTTTTCAATTTCTGTTTAAACCTAATATTCTATGTTTTCCTTCTCTTACTCCATTCCTCCTTCTTCGCTCTCATTTTTGCTTATGATGTAAATTTACTTTCTTTCTCTCCTTGCCTTGTCTCTATTCCCTGCTCATACTAGTGTTCCTCCCCCTACCCCTCAAAATCACTTTTCTTTCAGTTAGTCATCTCGTATTCATGTTTCCTTTCTTATAACAGTCTTAATCATTTTACTACTTTATTAATATTTGCTCATTTGCTGTAGATAGTATAATTGTGGAAGGGGGTTATATTTCTGGGTGTGGCCTTGTTTCCTGGGTTGGCAAAACCTGTACGACAGCATACAAGACGTGGTGGGCAGAGTGACTCTCAGTCAGCCCGCCAGAG